TGGGCCTGCAGTTCACACGCTTATCTTTGAATAATCCCTGGTGTATCTAATAACTAATACTCACCCTTTTTCAATCCTTATTACTATAGAGTGTCGTAGGTATTCCCCGTAACCAGCAAAATATTAGTCAGGAACCTCGTACTAGTTGAAGACTAGACCAACTTGTACGTAATAAGTTGTAGCCACCCTGACACTCCTTGCTATATTCACAGCAGAAAGTTTGGTCCTCTTGAACTGTGAAAAGAGATTGTAATGTTGGTTCCTTGTTTAACTTGGGATACAGGAGTTTTGATATGAATGTGTCAGCTGAGCAGTAACAAAACAGTTGCAGTGTCTGAGTCTGCAACTTCCTTCAATCACAAATTTTGTTCACAAAAGGCTCACAGGTTACCCTTGAGCCATACTGGGGTATAAACACACACAATATCCCACATAAAGGGACAGCTCACTAGATTGAAGCACTTTGATGCAACTGTTCTTCCAGCTCTACCAGTGAGCATTGAGCCAAAGATATGAATGGGATCAAAGGTGTCTGATACTTAGAAAGGGACCATTGGGTATGCATATATCCTTTGTACACACAGAAGACAGGGCAGCTCAAGAGTAGCCTGTGAACCTATTGCAAATAAGACCCGGGATTGATGGTGTAGTGGACTTGGACACCACAACTCTCCTCAATTGGGGGTCAAAAAAATTGATTCCCGTGGTGTGAGCATGGCTGAGCTGGGTTTTGGTGACGGCAGCATTTCATTTCTGGGCCACAGCTGTGCTTTGGATCACATGACTACATCAACAGACTGTTTCTATTACTCTTTCTAGAATGAATGGTACCTTGGCCCAAACAAGAAGCAAATTCAATGTGAGTTTGTATACAGTTGTTGCCACAGTCAGTAACAATAACAGCTGGCTGCTGTTGAGGTCTGCCAATCAACCCAGCTCCAATGATTGATTTCTGTGACTCAACCATCTTTCTGAACCAACCACAATCCAATGTTGTCTGGCAAAACCACCAAATTGAATGTTGGAAAATATTTGACTCATTAGGTGCATCACGGCTCTTGAATACTTTCATCATTCAGACTCAGTGCTTTTGTTCATGTTTGCAAATTCACTTTTTTAAATGTTTTCTGATTAAGGCATCCCATTGTTTTGCAATCTATTGTAGGCTTTTGAGCTTGTATCAATATGTGAATTGTACATGAAATGTGATTTCTTACTCATGAATATGAATATTATTCCAATGAGGAAAAGAATTCTTCTGAAGAGTGTGGCTTGCAAGCAGATTCACAGCCAGACAGTTTTGTTTTCAAGGAATCAAAAAAAGAAATGAAAGATGAAAGAAGAAGTCACAAGGCTTGAATCCTGAAAGACATTGAAAGGCTTCAACTTTGATCTTCTCTTGAGCCTTATTGCACCATTTATTAGGCCTACCACATACAGAGGCATTGAGAGAAATCAGGATTTACAATTCATGTCAGAGCCCAAATTCTACTTTACCCTTATATGGTGTCAGAAGTTTTATTATTGAATGCATACTCATTCTCCCAAATGAAATAGTCCATGGTTCATCAAACACCAAGGGCATAGAGAATTTTTTATACAAGGTTTGTGCCTAAATCAAAGTTGCAAAGCGGACCATTACACCATGTTAGAAAGATGTCAAGATTTGATTGAGACAGATTATGGATGATTTAACAAATGGTAAGTCAAAGGTTGAGGGGCAAATGTAGATCAAGATCACCTACAGTTCAAGACCAGATTGAGGTTGGTTCAGAAAGATTTGTGGGTTACAGAGAGTGTTGCAATTTGGAATTGAGGGCAAACTTCACAAAGTTCACTCATTCTTGAGCTGTACTGGTCACTTCCAATCAGGGACTTACTTATAAAGTCCCTAATTGGGTGCGAGATTGTTTTGAGTGATTCTTCAAATCTAAGATCCTCTCTCTGTCTGCATCTCATCAATCATCTCAACTTGAGCTGATAATGAAAAATATATCTCAGATAATGTATTTGAGGCCAAGCCTGGGGCAAAAGCCCAGCAGACAACTGTGGCATCAAAATCTGGCAATTTAGGGGCAAAAACCAGTATTCATAGACAGTACTACCAATCCGCACAAGGCAAACTTTGCAAACAAAGATTATGGTATCACCACCATCCAAGTCCTTGATTTTAAGCACTGCCTTGCAAAACTGTGACATAGCATTATGCAGTCATGGAAGGAGTCTGTAAGGGTCAGCGGTAGTGCAGATGGATGGGTTTAGAATTATTACACGAATTACACATTATGGGTTATTACAAGTATAGTAGATTAGTTAGAGTGATTTCACTTGCCCCTATATACTCCTTTTCTTTCCTCATGGTTCCTACTTCTTATCAGTTCTTTGATTTTTTTCTCTTGGTATTGGTTTTCTGATCCTCAAGTACTGGACTTAGGCAATTGAACAAGGGGTTGAGATAAAACCCAGCTCCTTGTTATGATCTTGTCTTAAATCATTCTATGAGGCTATGCTTATAGTTGTTAGAACTGTTCTCATATACTTGTTCTACGTTGTCATGATTGTACTCTTTCTCTCCATGGTACAATTAAATCATACTTCATCATAAAGATACAAGTAGCTCAAGTTCCCATCACATCACTCATTGATACAAACAGACTAGTCTCTGTATGTAAGCCATCTGCTCATATCACTCCTTGAGAGCACAAGCAGAGACCTCAATATTCAGTGAAGGTGGAGAGTACACTCCACTTGACAGATACAAAACACAAATGGGGAATCCTTGCTAGCTCGGCTTGTGGTAAGAGAATTGATGATTCTAATTGTGACTATTGAAAGATTAACATGGGTATGTGATGACATGAAAAAGGTGCAAGTGGAGCACTTTCATTGCATGCCCAAGCTGCTAGTATGACCCACATGATTCACCCCCAAAATGAAGTCAAACCCAAGTACAAAAGATCAGTGAGATGACTTCTGGCTAGAGCACCCTCTGGCGGATGACCTAGGATCAAGTCGACTGTTGACACGGACAAAAAATGTCTCTCTGTCGGGGACTCGAACCCCGGTTGCCCGCGTGACAAGCGGGAGTACTGACCACTATACTAACAAAGATACTGAAGACTGTGGGATTCGAACCCACGCCCGAAGACCGCCGGATTACCCGAAGTATCCTTAAGACGGCGCCTTAGACCACTCGGCCAAATCTCCATACAGCTCTTTCTGTATTGCAATACTCGAGCTACCCGGTTCCCTACACTACCTCACAACATCCTCCGCATACATTCACATCAACTCGCCACTTCCTTTCCTTGCCCTCACTTCACCAACAAGGAACTCAGCATTCTCATCCTTCCTATTCGACACCTTCATCGTTCTTTCCTGACATTCTCATCAGTCCGACTCCCAGGAGTGCAACTTTCATCAAGAATATTCAGTAACACTACATACAACTGCTCGACTTCCGTGCTCGATCAACTTTGCAACTCTCGATGAACCTCATGTCTTTCCAGCTCGCTCTCCTAGCCACAATCTTGGTGCGCGCCCTTCGATCGAGCCCAAAAAACCTAGATCTCATATACTAAAACTGGTTCCATCAGCTCATCTCTCCCATCATCGCAGACATCTCTTGTATGTATCCTCTCAATAACCATCTCCCTCGCTGCTCTTATACATCCTGACTACCCTCATCAAGTTTGTAAATGCATGTGTTTCTCAAACTACACCATCGTCCCACTTTATCGCCCAAAGGATATAGCAAAACCTTGCTTGACTTGTACAAAACAATTCTGTCTCGATCAGAAACTCGCCATCTGTCAGAATGCTCAACTCGGTAACACAAATCCTGATACAGGAACTGGGGATGAGGGCGATGTCAGAACAAAGTGCTTTCGTTAGTGGTCTCTCTCTTGACTTTCATTTCATCCTTTGCTGAATCTTCCTTCATCCTCCAGAAAGGGATTCTGCAAAAGACGCCACCATCGTCATTGGATTTATCATCATCACCACCGCTCTTCTCTTGGGCGCCTTTCTAAAAGAGTACGCCGCCGGGGCTTACGAGGTCAGCATTTCTCATCACTATTCATCACTCTCCTCTATTAATAATACTCTCTTTCCAACAGCTTTTGCGCAAACTGCAAAGGACAAACACCAATCCTTATCTCGGCCTCTGACTCACTCCCTTCTCTCTCTCCGTCAAGCCTAATGTACCTCTATAGAAATTCTCCTTCAGGGCCTCTCTCACCCTTAGGCTGCAGCCATTTGCCATTTTCAACCCTAGCACACCGCGACCCATGTGTTTTCCTTGTGTGCCTATGTGGGCACATCAACCAAGATTAGATTTCTCACTGGCAATGCCAGAGTGAGTCGTAGTTCGACAGGTGCTTTGCTAGTTCGCCGCACTTCATGTCCCATGCGCGCATCCCTCCTCACAGCTGTATTTATGCCACCATACGCTGTTCCCCATCAGATACTCTGCTAAAACACGCGATAGCTGGGATTCATTTCAATTAACTCGTCTCGATCCTGCTCAAACGCACAAGATCTGTGATTGCAGATGGCAATTAAATTACTCTCACGACTAAATTGTATGAAACTCTATTCAACTTCAGGTCTATCAGTCCTCCAATTTGATATACCTTTCAGGGATATCGGCTACTCGCACAGGAAGCATATTTTCGATATCCCTCCAGGCAAGTTAGACACACCATGACTGAAATCAAAAATAACGGTCAGCTGATCTAGGAGCAAGAAGGAACACCAAATTCGTGCCAGACTATACACAGCAATTTGGATCAGATAACTCAGTAAACCAATATCAGACATCCACATCTAGGATGAAAGGAAACTGAAGACATTGTGGTATCTTTAACCTTCAGATTACATAACATAGACGTAAACCCAGGTACGTCGGTAAGAAGCAATGTGACATGATGGGTTTCTAATCAACTAAAATATTCATATATAGCCATTACACTCAATCCAAAACTCGACCAGTTTTCAATATCATCTCAATCTTGCAAAAGTCTAGACTCAAATGAAACATGTTTCTTGATATTTGAAGAAAGAAGTGATTTGCGTAAAGGAACTTCAGAATGAGCCAGATGACTATGACGTTTGTGTGCTAATCTTTCTGAATAACGTCGGGATTGAGCGTGAGGCTGAGCAGATCTACGACGTTTAGCGTCCGTGATAGGTTCGGTCAGAAGGATTGTGGGTGATTCAATTGAATCTCGTCGTTTTCTTCCTCCCTGTTGAGTGCGGAAATCATAAGTTGCGATCATTTTCTTAGGTGTGTTACATCCCAACATCTGATCCTGGACAGGTCCGATTGGCGTGCTGAGTGGGCCGATAGAACCAGGCGAAGGTAAAGTTGTCGTCTGCGTAGATTAGTCAAAATCAAAGCTTAGTTGACTCTTTCCATGGATTCAACTTTGATCAGATCTTTTTGTCAACTCACCTGAGAGTTTTTATGCGCTCTTCTAGTTAAAATCACTCTTCGAAGTTGAAGGTTCTGAGCATCCCGCGTGGTATTTTCTCGCGAAGAGGTATTGATGATATTTATTCCGAGTGTTTTGAGCTCATTGTATAGCTTTCCACGACCTGGAGTTGTGCTACAATGAAAGCGTCGACTCATCTTCTAAAATTTTTGAAAGAGAAATCAAGTCAGATGGGGTAGATGACAATCAAAAGTAGCAGTATAAACAATAGAAGCTCCTACAATAATCAGATAACTTGCGGGTTGATGCGCCGGGCAAATACTGCAAAATCGATGAGGTAAAGTTGGTATGAATAGAAGCGAGTATGTTGTTATTGGGGATGGGAAGAGCGCACTGGATCATCAACTTAAAGGCTCGAGGGGAGGTGAATAGAGACTCAAAGGCTCAGACGACCTGAAAGGCACCCATCTCCCTTTGAGGTCACTGAAGTCTTCCTCATCAACAACGGACCTCAGTTAGCGCTCAACGAGAATTCCATTGTCGATGCAAATCCCCCCACGACTCTGCTCTGTAATCGGCGTCCTGAAAACCCTTCATTCACTTACCTAGCTGAGTCGGATAAGGCTTCTCAGCTTGGACTGGGTGTACCAGCATAAGGTGAGCGGGGCTTTCACTCTTTTAACATACATCCTCGCTTTTGATACCTAATGGATTCCACCAGTTCGTCTATACACAATTTGGCACGTGGAATTTTGAAGACTTGTGTTCAACTTCAGATGTAAGCCTAACTAAGCCACTCTTCCTTTCAGCTGAGTTCAGATGAGACATTCATAGAATATTCAACTAGATCTCTTTTATGAATGATGATCTAATTTAGTTATCCAAAACAACCTTTGAAGTTTTATGGTGGCAATCAAGACAAAGAAATTGACAGATCTGGTGATTTCCTCTCCCTGTGTCCATTGCCTTTGTGTTGGATCACACCCTTAGCAATTCTCATGCACGGAAGGCCATGGGGGTTTTTATATAGCTGAATTAGCTCTGAGCTGACATTTTGAAGAGCTGAGCCAAGTAGGCAGTCAGAACTGAAGATTCTATCTGAATTTTAGTTGTACTTTTCAGAATACTAAAACCTAGTCAAAACTCAAGTGTGTGTCTAAATACTTTGAGATCTTTCCTTTTTTGATTGATGCAATTGACAAGGTCTGGTTTGGTGTTGGCTCTTGAGGGTTTGCAGGAACTTCACTTTTTGGAACTTGCGACTCCGACTTTCCGAGTGAAACGGACAACTGTAAAGCAAAAAGAGGTGTGCACTGTGACATCTGTACTGAGACTGTGACACTCCATGAACAGATGTTGGTGACATTCTTGAATTGAATTTATCCAAGAGAACCCTTAGAGTTTCCAATAAGATGAGAGTCAATCCAAGATGGTGAGATTCAAAGTAAGTAACAAATCAATAAAGAAAGAAAGAAAGACGATACCATGAAACTAATGAATGGTTCTTTTTTGAATATAGAATCGATATGTTTTAATCAATTTAATGTTCAATCCTAATCTGATTAATCTTCAAACCGATGAACTTATCAATTTAAATTCAAAAGAAATCTTAGAATCTATTAGACATTCAATTCTTCAACACTTTGGTGAGCTTAACTTGGGTCAATCTACTGCTTCTTTAAATAGTATGTCATCCAAACTCACATCTGCTTATCAATCTGAACTTTGTATACTAATGCTTCGGGTTTTTTCTGCAATAGTCAAATATTATTCTCCTATCACTTCTTTACTTATCTTACGTTGTTCAAGAGATTCGATTTCGATTGTTAGAGTAGCTTTAATGTTAATTCGTCAAATCAAAGGTCATGATGTGATTTTTCAATCTATCAATGTATCAGGTATGTCAAATCCATCACTCCGATCTTCAAACGTTTCTTATCAATGAATTTTACTTGATCGGAATTGAATTAATCCCATGTAATCTTCATAAAACAAAAAAAGGTACGATGCGGAAAACTCAAGAAGCTGCTATTCGATTTGATAGAGAATTAGTTCTTCAACATTCAACTAATATTTCTTCATCAACTTTAACTGGTAAATGTTTATTTAACATTTTATTAAAACTTATATAAAAGAACTGATTTTTACCATTTTTTTCTTGAATTATTTTAAATTAGATCCAAAAGAAATTCAAACTCGTCATGAAACAATCCTGAACATTGAAATTTGAACTTTTTCAAAAAATAAAATCAATCAATCAAAACTTGAATGAAAAACTTTGATTCTAATTCAAACCAATTCAAAAATATCTACTTCAACACGTCTTGATACCTTCATACTAGATCAAGTTTTGATATACCAAAAAATTGTACTCAAAAACCGGATCAGTGCATCTCTTCATTTTGTAAATTCAAGATTCTCATTGTAATCATAATGCATCAACACAAAGAAAGCAATCTTTTGCGGATAGAATCTTTTCACAGTCTTCAAAATCAAACCTGCAATCATTTCATTTTGAGAATGTGGTGGATACATTTGAAGTGATGTGATCTTTAGCTCATTTATAGCTCAAAAGGTTTTACTTTGACCTGCACATGAACAAACATCATGGTCCATATGTATCCTATCATCATATCATATCACCTTTTTCATTGGATTGGTTTTGAGCAAGAGATGTCGTTGTTTGAAGTTGGGTCTGGATCCTGATTGCAATCATATAGAAGAAACCTGAAGCGAATCATTTTTTGTACATATCTCATGGTGGACAGATGATCTTCTGATTAATTTGTGATCGATCAGTAAAGAATCCATTCAGGATTTTAAAACTTTGACTTGTCAAATAAACCCGAACCGTGTGACTGACTGACTGTCTAGGATACTGTTCATATTCAAAAATAATTTACTCGATGCCCACTTGACTTGTTCAAGCCGGAATAGATTCACAAAACAACCCATCTCACTTTTTTATCCAACCTTTCAAAAAAACCCAATCAAAACCTCAAAACTTCATACAAACTTCATACAAACATTAAAAGGAAGAATTCAATCGGATGTACAACTTTAAAAAACCAATCAATTCATCAAATCCCACCCACTACACCTTTCCTAACCCTACCAATCAAATTCATCACTCCATCCACCGCTGCATCACCAATCTCTTCTAATGCATTAGTACTGATCGGTAATGAATTCGATGGATTTCCTACTCCTGCTCCTACTCCTGATAATAAACTTGAATTTCCTGTGATTGGATGATTTGAATTTAAATTGATTAATTGATGATTAGGTTCATTAAAGTTAGGATATCGATTTGATAAATCTCTTAAAAGATTTAAAAATCTAAACCCATGAATAAACAAATGCGACGGGAAAAAAAACACCACCTTAGATTTCCTCTATCCAAACAAGTTTTTTGAAAAAGAAAAGATAAACATACGATTTTGAATTATGAACAAACGTTCCACCCAAGATGACTCTAGCTCCTAATTGAGGTTGTAGACCAGGTCCAGTGAAACCTTGACCACTCGTCAACCTTTCATTCAAAAGTGCAATACTTCTAGCTTCTTCATAAGTCGTTCCACCAATCACAAAGACAATCACTTCAGTAGGTCTCATCAATTGAACCGATCCGTTCCCCGCGGTTTGAATTGAAGATTGTTGTCCTTCCAAGAAAGGATATCCATTCTCTTTCAAGCGTCCTTTAAGTAATTGTTCAATCGTTTCTACTAATGGTGGTGTATGTTGTGTATAAACATTTTCGACTCCTTTGAGTCCTTTTAGTGCTGATTTCCCTCTACTAAAGAAATTCGAATTCGCAAACAAATCGTCTTGTCTTTCATCCGATCCTGCAAAATGTAAGATCACATAAACTAATCTAGCATCTTTTTCAGGTATTCCGTTTTGTTGTAATAAATCTACGATTCCTACAATCGCATTCCCACTAAACTTTTGATACCGTAAGGCATAAAGCACTGCTAAACGGATCTTCGCCTCTGCTTCAATCTCTGGTGAAGAAATCATTTCTCTAACATTCTATATCATGAGAGTCTCGTGGTTAGTTTAAGATCTCATCCCTCATCTTGACTTGAGGTAAACAAAACTGACTTACTTTTAAATCTGAACCATGACTTTCATTAGCCGCCAAACTTTGTTCAAGTTCACTAACTTCCAAAAGTTTTCGTTCACCCACCAATCTACTCAATTCACCTACCAAACTCACATGTTTAGTGACATTCCCACTCAACTTTCGATGTTCAGGATACTCTTCTAAGAACCTTTTCATATCTTGAACCGTATCAATCTTACCAGCCACTAATTTAGAACTAACTGTCTTGGTTTGATATTCTGAAACATATGATTTAACAGATGCACCTAAATCTCCAAAATTCGCATAAATGTTTTTGGAAAAGAATGGATCTTGTTCTGAACTTAAAACGATTTCTTTTAATTCCGGTCGGATCTCGGGTGTGGATGAAAGATCTACTCTTCCGTTCTTGATACCTAAAACTTCGTGCACCATGGCTTGATAGGTCCATTGAGTTAGTAAAGGGGTTATTGGATCGTTCTTTCGATCTAGGATTAACAGGACTGGTGATGGGTACGTTAATCTGAAGTCAAACAGTTGATTTTCGGTTTGGATTTGATACTGTTTTTGTTTTGGTACACGAAAGAGTGATCCGATCAAGTAAGTTTTCATCTGTCACTTGAACCAAAAGGCAAATGATCTACATCAAATAATCTTACCATCAATTCTTGTCCCAACTTTTTAGCCATCTGACTCGTACGTGGGTATCGAATCAAAGGTTTTTTCTTAAGACTCAGTAAGAGTGCACTAAGACATTCCACATGACGTTCTAAAGCTCTCGTCGACGAATTCCACATAGAAGTCGTCTCACCATAAATCGGTAACGATCTCGTACTCGTCTTCTTAGATGTAGATGAAACAAGAGCTGATAATGAGGTGACGGTTGGGATTGATGATGATGAGGATGTGTTCAAGTCGAAAGGTTGGACGTTTAATGAAAAATGAGATGTTGTAATTGGAGCGTAATCAGCGAAGAATTCCTAGAAGAACGGTGTTAATCACGAATCACTCTCTCATAATTTAGTCAGAGAGGAAAATCGTCCAAGTTGAGTATAGATCTTCATGAGATACATATACCAAAAAAGATTTAGAGGTGATAGAGTGAGATGAGTTTGTTTTGATGGTTATATATTAATGATCATATACCCAACTCTGAAGACTTTGGTGTACGTAGAGAAATTGAAAATCACGAGAAATGATAATACATAGAATGCGAAACTGACCTGAATTTCCCTAACTACCTCATGTTCATCTGCCTCCGCCAACATTTCGATATCCGATTTCTTCAAAATATTGCTAAAATCTAAACAACAAAACACATAATGATAAGTACACGAATATATTGATGATAAAACATTCAATCAGATTCACACAACCAATATTCTTTATATCGAGGATTCCTTAATTCTTCTTCCATTGCTGCAAGACTTTCTGGCGTAGGACGTAAGAAACAAATACACTATAGAATTTTATCAAAGGTTTCGTTAGTTAGTTTCCCAAAATCTTAGAAGAGGATTTAGATTTAGATTTAAAGGAACTCAACTTTTAAATGAGACATTCGATCTCGAGTTGGATTGGTAATCGAATCAGTTAAATAAATTTCATGTTCTAATAAATTAGATTGAGTAGCAGCAAGTGAGATGATAGCTGTCTAAGTAAATAAAGAAAGATTTCAAGTGATTAGTTTTTTTTCTGTTTTGGATTTCAGATTATTAGTTTAGAATTGATGAAGCCATTACTGTATCTGGATCTAGTAAGAGAACTTTGATACCAGTTGATTCGGTGATCATCTTGTTGATGTAGTTTTGAATGGCTTTGAGGAGATCCATGTTGTGCTGTTGTGGTTTGGATTGATGAAGTTGATATTGTGGTGGATTGGCTGAGACTTGAATGTGATGGCATCGATCGTCACTGGAAATACCCGAGTCTGATCGGATCAAAGACACCTCAGTACCGGCTCTATCCGACTGTCGAGTTTTATCCAAGTGTTCTTTCTGCCATAAGCTTCATCAAACTGCAACCAATCAAAACAAGATGATCAATCAAATCAAAAAACTAAATCCATTCATCAAATCAATCTCTCATTCATCAAACCAATTCAAAAATCAATTTCATAGTTCTATTCCTTCATCTCAACTTACTTCAACTTCAACTTCAATTCCAAATCAAATCTCCATCAAGAATCATATATCAAACCAACCACAATCACAATCACAAAGTTTAATTAAATTTAAACCATTCATCAATAAACCAGCACCAGAAAGGATCCCAAACCCACATCGTTTGTTTTAAAAGTTTTTCAAAACCCATCATCAAAACCCGATTCTAATTGATTTTTTGATCTTTTTTTGTTTCGGTGATAGATTCAATTGAAACGGTTGAAAAGTTTTTATCTTCTTTAAAACGTCCGAACCTTTTAGATCTTAAAAGTAAATTTGATTCATGGAATCAGTTCTTTGAATCTAATGGAACTTTATTGAAATCAAAATCAATCAATCCAAAAGAAAGAAGATATTTACTTTGGGCTATGGAATTATTCAGGTGAATTTTATTACTTGATTTAATTTTATTTCAAATTTCAAAGTTGATCTTGTTTTGATGTTTTGGATGTTTTGGATGACCGTTGGGTATTTTTTAGACATGGTAAAGATCCAAAGGAATTTGCAGTGAAACTTAAGAAAAAGAAAGTTATTAGAGGGTAAATTGGTTTAAATTTGCTTAAATCCAGTACGATTTGTTCGTCCAACATACTGATTGATTACTTTTTTTTGGGGTGGTTTGGGGGTGGTTTAGTTGGGGTCCTAGGGTACAGAATGGAAAAAGACTTCGTGGTAAACCAGGTGGTAGGATTACACTTTAAGTTTGATTTATAAGAAGAAAAAAAATATCACTTGTTGAAATCATACAGTATAATCGTTTTTGAAGTTATGTTTGATTCAATAGGATATAGAATGATTTGTGTGTAATTCTTGTCATTTTATTTTTTTGGAATTTATCAAATTCATACCCTTCTATCAATGAATCAAACCTAAAGAAATTTCAATCATGATCATTTTTATCGATAAAGAAAAATTATCAACAAGTTAAAAGATCCAAACAAATTGCAATTCAAAAAGATTGAGTCTCTTTGATCATACCTTCCATCTAAAAAAACAGAAAATAGTGTTCAATCACCACCACAAGAAATAAGTACTTTTACAGTAGTATATCAAAGCTTACAGTTTTTCACAAAGAGTCATAAGCAGGCATATTTTACCTTTTGAAGAAATCATCGTGAATGCTTTCCGTTTTTCCTCAATTTCTTTATCTTCATACTTAGCCTCTTGATCAAGTGTTTCTAGTATCTTGTCAAATATCTCAATAGGTAAATCTATAAGACCTAAAGGAGATGTTTGAGGTCGTGATTCGGTTGTGAGAATAGAGGATGTCATCTTGAAATGTATATCTTCAAGAGACTCGACGAAGAAGACAGCTGATCGGATTCCGAGCACCAGATGAGGTGTAAATCCTTAACAGGCTGGGACTTTGTTACGCTTGGTGAATTGCCACACAAAGATAGATCCTGATCGGAAGTTTGATACGAGGTGGAACTGTGGTGAGCTTGATTGGGCAGTTCCAACAACCATTTCTTATCATGATTCATATATGCATGTGTACATAGTGTGATTAAGATCTTCACAATCATGACCGAGTACGATTGAGATGACTGATGACACCTATTTGGTTTGATGACAATCAAAAACATTCACTAGAATGAAGCAACACCTTGAATGAACAAATCGAGTCTGACGGTAAATTGTTAGGTAAAAGTATCACTTTTCAATGATCAACTCATGAAATCCATTCAATAAATTCATAATCTTTCTCAAAATCAAAACCGTTTTCTTGCTTATAAAATAAAAAAATCTAACTAATATCATACACCAATTAATAAAGAAGAAAAAAATAAAAATAAGCTACAAACAAAAAAATCTTTTATGATCTTCAATCACCCTTTCCTTGAGATAAAAAAAATACAAAAAAATGATGAAGGAAAAAGATAAATGTCAATTTCTTGTTTTTTTGTGTTTGATAGTAAAAAAAAATAATGTAATAAGAATCAAGATTTTCTTTCAATTGAAAGCACAATATACATGTAACATGATCATAAAGAAGAAGAAGAAAAAAGAAGAACGATATTAAAATGTAATCATCAAAAATAAAAATTCATTGAAATAAGAAAAAAAAGTTTCTCGAAAAATAAAACCACAAATGATCATGAAATTCCAATTGTCCTTGATCCTCTTCAACTTCTTCACACCAAGTTAATGAATAAGATCACCAACATCAATCCACCTAAACCTAACCAACTAGATTGACCAGCTCTAAGGATATGACCACTAGATTTAGCATTAGTCACAGTTCCAGATCCACTTCCAAGATTCGCACCACTAGCTTCACCCGAACTTCTAAGTAAAGATTGATAGCCAGCTGCAGGTGTAGCAAATCCAACGGCTGCAGGTTCAGGTGATGCTCTAAAGACTGTATACACATTCTTTAAGAAACTATCACCAATGATCCAAGCTGGTGTATTGGTAGTAGATCCGGTTGTAGCTGGTTCGACTGCAAAGATCGCTCCTAAACACATCTTACCATTCTCATCAACTGTGCCTACGTTGAAATCATCGGGTGCAATGGGATATGCGATACCACCAAAGGTTAATGATAAGGAAGGAGCTGCCGAGCATGGAAATTGATAGTAACCTATCATGAAGTGAAAAGCAGCAAAGTTAGCGAAACGGTAAGATCCACAAACGAAGAAAAGCCAACTCACCCTGGTATGATCCAGTAGCCGGCGTTGAACCCGAGATATTAGCGTAAATACTCTGTACAACAGCTGTAGGAGCACCAATAAGAGAGGTACCGGTATCAATCGCCACTGCATTAGATTGAGAATTCGAAACGGTGATGCCATTGATAGCAACCGAATCCAGAGCGATTAACCAATAAGTTTGAGCTTTGAGTGGTACATAATTGATCGATCCAGTAAAAAGTGTAGTGTTGGGACCACCGAGAGTCATGATTCCACCTGGTTCGGTATCTTCTGTAGACGAGATGTTCACAAATCTAGAAAGTCCAAATCCGAATGAAGGAATATTGGCTGATTTCCAAAACGGAGCTTGACCAGTAGATGCCAGAGGTGTGAAACCCATTCCCATGATACCTATCAAACGTAGATGCCACCATGAGTGTTTTGTTCTTTATCTGAGGGGAAGAAAAAAAAGATGAAATGACTGACCAGAAACGTCACCCGATAAAAGTCCAGAAGAAGCTTTGCTAACGATGGCAAAGGCTTGATTTGTGACTGTATAAGATCCTTGAGAAATGGTTTCAGTAGCGACTGAACCAGCAGCAGAACCAGAACCATATGTGATTTGAAAGGATTGTGAGGTTGTTTTGAATGTATTAGAGGCAGATGAAGTGTAAGTTGCACCGCTCGTAGTTGACGTCATTCCAGGAGTTCCAATACCACCCATGTTACGAGCAGATGAAGATGATGAAGATGATGATGAAGATGAGGAAGAAGATGAAGCTGAGCCAGTGATCCATAGATCGGATGAACCGGTATCGAGGATGACATTGAATTTTTGAGGTGGATTACCGATTTGAACCACACCGTAATATTCAGAATCAGCGTATCCGTTGGTGAGAACTAAATTCAGAATGATAGTGTTGATTTGATTTTGATTTTGATTGTGATTTTGATTTTGATTCGGATTGAGATTGTGTACATAAATGAGAAGGTGAGAGAAGAAAGTGAGATGAAAGAAGAAGTGTGGAGTGAAGATCAGTTTTGGTTATTGATAAGTTTGAATTGAGTTTATTTTTGGGATCCAATTAGAGTTTTGAATTGAAATCCCAAAGAAAAAAGACAAAACTGATCTACACAGAAGAAATCCAATCGAGAACCAAAAATAAATAAATGTACGTACCGATTGCTGAATCACGTTTGCGATTTGAAGCAGTAGGATGAGTTTCACCAGGACTCATATGATATTTATTACACAAAACATCAGCTTGACGGATTGCATAAAGTTCAACAGCTTGATGATCTCTTTTTGAATATTGATGTGAACGTTTTCTGACGACTTGAATTGAAGAATGAGGTTCAAGATTGGTGGATGGTTGATTTGGAAATGCATCAGATGAAGAGAAAGAGATTAAAGTGAAGAAGATTAAGAATGAGTTCATCTTCAATGGAAATACAAATGAAGATGAAGATGATTAGATAGATAGGATTAAAGGTTGATTGTGTTTGTAATTGTGTTTCAAAGTGATTTGAATGATAAATATAACGAAATTACAAACTGAATTGGTTAATAGCAAAAGTGTAAAAACCTTAAATAGTATCTTGATGATGTTTTTTTTTTGATTTCAATGTTTTTAATTTTTTTCAAACTTGATTAGCTGAACATCCAATTTGAATCTGATCTGTGTAAAGAAAATCAAGCCCTTTGATGGATTGGTTTAATATTTTAGTTTGAGTTAACAATCAGATCGATTATCTTTAGACTAACTTTCCTTCTTGAATTTTTATGGATGGAAAGATGGTGAATTTCTAATCACAAACTACAATCTAAGCTAACAATCGGTTTTGATGAATATCTTGATCTTTAAGCTGAGCTGAACTAGACTAAACTGGATTTCAAGAGAATCGGTCGATTCATAAATGGAAACAGAAACAGAAATAGAAATAGAAAAACCAAAAAAAAAAAACAAGATGAATGGTCTAAGAGAACCATTACCAATCAAACCCAATCAAATCGGTAAACTATCAAGAAGAGCGTTCTGTTTACCATTTTAAGATCTTTCTTCACTTCCTTAATCATCAACTTCATCAAGATGACTCATTCGATTCTCTTCTTTGGCTTAGCTTATTGATCTTCTTTGGATTTCATTCAACTTATGCAGCTCAGTGCTGTGTGCTTCCTTAACCATCCTTGTCTTTAAGAAATCAAATCCTTGGCTGAAGTCTGACCAAATCACTTCACGCAGCTAAGATTGCCGAGTGATTTGGGATGTGTTATCAATTCAATTGGATTCTTTGGAAAAGTTGAACTGTAGCTTACCAAAGATCCAAGCTCGTCATCATCATAACCGAAAGATTGCACAGCTTTCCAAACCTACTTTCGAGCTCAGCCGACATGCTTTTTGATTTGACTGATTTACTTATTTTCTATCAACATCTCAAACCAAGAAACCGTCACTACTCACACAAATAACAAAACATAAAATGTACAGCCCTCTTCATGATTGATGAACATTTGAAAGAAAAACTTTTGGAATAATCACAGCAAATTGTGATCACAGGAACAGCAAAGATCATTATCACCACAGTTTTTTGCTGGGATTATTCAAATAGTTTTGTCGAAACATTTGAAAAGTTTTTTCATGTGTTCATCAATCAATCATGAATACGGCTGTAGCCTTTTCATAAAGTGAATGACTTTTGCCACGTGACTGAACAATCAAGACCAATGTGAATTACAGTCGACTCTCAAACAGGGCTATGATCCGGCCCTGCGGGGCAGTAGCCGGCCCTGGGAGGCTGTGTTGCCATTTAGAAATTGAGGAGGGCCGAGCAAGGCACACCTTTTCTGATCTAAAGACAAGTATTATTTGTTGTAGCTGATTAGATGACCGTTTCTTAAGTAGACTAGTCCAATCCTATCAACTGTTCAGATAGTTTAAAATGCAATAAAGCAAAAATGCACTTTAAAAAAATAAAAATAAAAAAGGCACACCCTGACTCAAGAGGGTCAGGGAGGCTCAGTTTTGGGCACAGAATGAGGCAAAGAAATTGGAGTGGCATATATTTCAGATTCACCTGTATCTACTTATCAAGTATAAAGTTGTAATGTAACTTGTACCTCAAAAATAATGAGAAAAGCCTACAACTTTTGAGAACATGTGTCTTAATCTACTACTTGATCAAGCATTGAGTCATAATTTTAATTACTTTAACTTGAGAAGGACAAGAAAAAGCATATATATCTTCTGGTATTCATATAAGTATATAAAGTCTTGATATATCTAATTGAAAAGAAAAAGTTAAAAATTAAGAGAAATGTTTGGTACAACTTTTGACACACACTTGAGCCTTAAGATTTTCCAAAGTCAAAGACACACAATAGTTGCTCATGTTTCTTAAAGCGGCAGAGAAACATCTTTCAGATGAACCACTAGTGGCAGGCACAGCAAGCATGGCTAATTTTCCCATATGTGCTAGATTGGGACAGTGATGGTGATTCAAACTCCAGTAATGAAGGATATTGCTTTGCTCAGCTTCTTGAGAAGCAGTGAGATACCTTTTGGCCTTGTGCTTGATGGGAATCATTTTGCCGCACTTGATGAAGTGTTGAGGTTGATCAAGGTTGAGAGTTTCTTTTTGAGGTTGACAATTTCAACATCAGGAACACAAGCAGGCATGAACTTTCTGGCTTGGTTTGTGAAATAATTGACTATATCTTTGTGCCTTCAACTGAGAGACTTCATGGTAGAACCTTTGACTGCATAGGTGTTGAGGCAAGGATCAAGTATAGTAGCACATATATACACTGCTTTCTTCTGAGCAGTTTCTTGATACTGTACAATTTTCTTCATCATGGGCATGATACAAACTTTCAACTCCTTATAGCTGGAGTTGTGCCAAGCCTATGATTCAAGCCATCACATATATGTAAGTTGATGATGAAAACTAGAAAGAAGTTATGAAAGACAAAAAAGACTCATTGGTAGTCAGGCATCACAGCCAAGAAAGTTGGATACTTGTGAGCATTGATCTCTTTTATGACATGAGCAAGAGGAGCTAAAAATTGCACAAGTATGTCAACAAGGAGCCACTTGTCATCATTGAGTACAAAAGATTCAAGAGTGGGATCTCCCTTGCAGACGTAATGGGTCACTGGCTGAAGTTTGACATATTGTTTGAGGCAAGCATAAGTTGAAGACCAACAAGTGGACACCTCATGGACCAAACTAACTTGGTGTTTGAGCTTAGTGTAACCCTGGATGGTGTTTTCAAGGGAGGATTTGAGCTGGGCATGGTTCTTGACTTACTTGTGGAAAGAGTGGATATGATTTAGGATGCTACTGATTCTATGATGGGGAATGACTTGATGAAAAGAGGAACATGAGGTTGATTAGGAATCTGGGGATCAATGGTGTTGACTACAGGAGGATCAGTCTTGCAATCAAAGACTGCCATGCCAGATGTTTCTGCAAGATTAATGATGTGAACAACACATTCATGGAGATTCTTGGAGGCATCAGAACTGGGAATGATGTTCCGCAGGTTTTGACCCATAGTTGTGTTGTTTGAGGTGTTATCAGCAGTGTAGTGTTATTCCAGTCTGATAACTCAGAGCAATAGGTGCAATATCCTTTTGATATTACTCCCAAAAACTCTATAAGTCACAAAGCTTCAATAATAACATAAGTTTCTCTTTATAGCTATAATGAAGTGCATATTTTAGTGACCAGGTACTATTAAAATGAGTTTATAATGATGAACAAAATGACAATGATGTAAATCATAAAGAAACAGGGTAGCAACAACCAAAATCCGCCTTCTGGTACTATATAGCATCTATTACCATATTTGAATAAAGGTCAATAGCCTCAAAAACCAACAAAAACCGTCAAAAATACCTCAAAATCCCTGTGATTCCATCCTATGATGTGACTATTACTAATGAATGAGGGTGATTTTGGCTGTGTGATTGATCAATTTATGTTTATAAATGATGGACAGATCTTCTTATGATTCGATGTTGGTAACTTGTTATTAACAAAGTGGAATGGGAGAAAGTTGGATACATGTAATTATAACTAACGGGTCGGACTTTTGTCTAATCTCATCTTGCTCTACACAGATATGACATCATATCTGTTGACCATTATATTCAACTTTCCTCCAATTCCATTCTTATCGATCTCATCACCAACTCGAGTCTTTTTTCCTAGTTATCTTTCAAAGTATTACAAAATCGAACCCACCCTCCCAAGTCCCAGATGTTTAGGTAAGAACTTATTATTACAAAGTTTATTAGTCTCAAAGGTATTATTATTCGTATATTTTATTTCTTTATTTATCTCGTTATTTTTAGTTGTGTTCTAGTTTCACTTATCATTACAGTTTTTTATTACTGGTTATCCTGTTGTGTTGGTTCTCTTGTGCGAGTTTATCCAAGTTTCTCTCTACAAAGTTTCTTTTGTTTAAAAAAAAAAAAAAATTGTCTAGTTATTTTTGGTCTAGTTATTATTAGTTGTTAGGTCCGCTAGCCACCCCGTAGGGCGTGCTTACATTATGTCATCAATTTTATTCCCTTGGCTTAGGCCTTGGGCTTTGCACCAAATTCCATAGTCTCCTTGGTATTATCATACCAAAAAGATAGTGAGTTTAACTAGTCCCATTTCGGATACAGGTGATTTGTTTCTTAATACTCATAGCTGAAGATCAATTTTATTTTGTAAAGTTCTTCAATCTTTGATTACTGAAGCTCATCTTTTGTATCTCATGATACTGATCATCAATTGGCCTAATATGACCCTCTTCTGATGTGTAACACATGAGTTATTGAGCTGTGAAGATTGATAAAATAAGCTTCTTGTTATGTAAATGTTGCTGCATGTGTGTATGTAAGGGCAAAAGTCAAAATTCACACCATTCTCTTTGATTCCTCATGAATTTTTCACAAATTGTCTGTTGGAAGTGGCTTGAATGCTGTACATCATGTAATGCAAAATTCTGTGTTGATTGAGCTATTGCCCATCCTGATCTGACAAGTTTTGACATATGTAATTAGCTGAAGCCTTCATTTACAACAATTTTCACCTCTTTTCACCTCTTTTCACCTCTTATTTTCATATCTTCTTCATCATAAGATCATTTTCAATCAATCCATCCTTCAGAATAACTATAAAAATCATTCTAAAACTCTTGGCAACCATTAAATTCCTCAATCCAATCATTACATCCGGCTCTCACTTGTGGGATAGCTCTAATTCAGGTCTTTGGCTCAGGTTTCATGTTGTCAAGCAACTGTTTACTCAAGGCACACGATTTGGTCAATCACATTTCAGCGAAGATTTCAGGACATCTTTTTCAACTGTAAACAGGCACACTGATTCAACAAAACCACAATCCTGTGGATTTACACATATCACATCCGCAAATTTCATTGCATCCCCTAATTTCATTGCATCCCCTAATTTAATTGCATCCCCTAATTTCATTGCATCCCCTAATTTCATCACATTTGCCGAATCCAAATCCCATTCCACCATTCCATATTTTTCAAGTTTCCATAATCATTGCATTGGTCAGTTTGTGTTCCACTTGTCACTAACTGGACTAGACTGGTTTACCAATCTGCCTGGTTCTTCCCTTTTGTTTCTTTCTTTCCAGTTGTTCCTGAGCATGATGCTACATTGCTTGCATGATGTTGGCCTCTAAATACCCAATCCTTGCCTGCAACTTGATGTTGCCTTCTGTCATCCAGGGAATAAATACAGATGTACCTATCTCCTGGCTAACATAACTGTAAGATAACTACACAAATAGGTACCTTCCTATACAATATAAACATTCCTATTACTTTAATAATATATCATCTTTTAGCAGTCTGTTTCAAATTACTATCTTTCTTTCTTCTTTTCTAATTCATTTATAATTTCAAAGTTAGTTGCTTTTCTCATTAAACATTACCAAAGTACCAACCACAATGTAAAAGTTTACACTTGAGTTAGTAATGTTATGATCTCAAGAAGTGAAGAGAAATCCCAGTTTAGACAGAAGGTTGGAGTGATGACCCAACACTATGTTGATGAACTCAAAACCATAACGGAATTGGCGCTTGGGAAACACTCATCCAAAGGTCTGAGACTATCTAAACCAAATGAAGGATTAATAGAACTACATTTGTTGTAAAACTTGTGTGCACAGAATAATATCTCAAAGGGATTGGAAATTAGTTACTTGATAGTAGAGCAGAATGCTCGGAATTCCGCTCTACTATCAAGTAAGATTTGAATATTTCTGTAATGATTGCTTATGCGCTCTTCTGTTAGATTCAGGGTATAAAAACCCTCTTGTTTTCTATTTTGTTTTATCTTTTCCTTCATCATATCATCAATAAAATTCTTTGTTATTCAACTCAGATTTTAAATCCTACTGTGTCCCAATCAACCAACTTTTGCTCTTTAAATCTGTCTTTAAATCCCTTAGGTTAGTATTGCTAAACTTTGATTCAGAAACTCACTTGATATCATAGCCTTGTTATTTGTTTATTAAGAACTATTAGTGTCAGTTAGCAGTTCAATAAGCAAGCTTATTGTCACCTTTGGACCTGGTTATTTGGCTGGGTTGTGTACAATGTGTAGCTTGTGGAAGGCTTCACATAATCCAAGGGGTATCCCCTGTTTGCACCTCTTTGTTTTTTCTTCTGCTTCTAGCTACCCCACTTCTCCCCTTCCCCTACTGAATCATCTGATTAGGTCTCCTTATATTTTGCTGTGCTTGTAGATTTTTTTTCCTGTCATGTTATGAAATCAAAGCCAAATTTTGGTTGTCCAGGTGCACAAGGGTTGCCTTTGTACTTAAGGTTGTGTGCTGTTTGAGCATCCCACTTGGCATTGTTTTCTGCTTCTTCCAGGATGCAGTGCGGTAAGATTACAACATCTGTTCTCTTCTTCCTTTCATTTACGCCTTTCAATTTCTTGTGAGGACTGACTGTCCTGATTCACAACATCACTGCTCTAACTCAAAGGGGGTTTGTAGAGCTACCATCTAACACTTGTGTTTCATTGCTAGCTTACCGACCAATTATTTATGTTTCTCTACATATTTTGCATAGTCAACATATTTGTACCTTTCCATGGCATACCTATATTCCAGGTTGCATGCCATTATGAATTCACCATATGTCATTTGCCTTTCTAACTCCTCTCTTGTTTGAAGTTGACTGTCCCCACTTGTTTTTCCAGCTTTTGTTTCACATGTTCACTGGTATAAATCAATGTATGAGGTTTAGAATACTGTCCAAGCACATGTCATTTTACTACTCACTGGCAGGCCAGTGAGTACAACCACCTCAATCCAATCTCAAATCAATGTCATTTCAATCTCAATCTAATATCAATGTTTGGCCTAGAGTAGCAGACAAACAACCTTCCAGAATTAACTGAAATAAAGTTTGGTTGCATGCTCACACATGAAGATGTCAGAATGCCAGGAAGGTTTGAGTGATTATGCAATATTTGCCACTCAAACAGAATTGGAAGTCAAACTGATATTGAACTGACATTGGATTGACATTGGATTGAGGTGAATGGAACCCACTGGCCTGCCAGTGACTAGTAAAATGACACTGTGAAGGGACACAGTATTTCATTTGATAGAAGTTTTTCTCCCACTGGATGGGGAGGTCTGGTAAATTAAAACAGACACAGATATGACAAAGAAGTTCAATGTGGAGAAAATTGAAATTAAATTGCATGAAATAGTAGATCACCCATCCCAAAAGTAGAATTCCAAAAGGGAAGAGATTTTGACCAAACAATCAAACTCAAACTCCTTGACAGACAGATTGGTGGAGGCAGTCAAATCAGGAGACACTGACCATGTTAGAATTATAAGGCAATAAATCCACTATCATGAGAAGGAGTCAGTGAAGTTTAAAAAGACAAAGTAAGGAAAAGAAAAAGGAATGCAGAGGAAAGGAGTGCAGGAAAGAAGAGGAAAACAAAAGAAAGGAAGAAATCAAAAAGCCAAACAAGGAGAAGAAACACTCAACTTCTTCATGAGGCAAAAACAACTTATCCTCCTCATCCTCATCTAATAACTCAAAACCACACAAGAGTTCATCACACACCTCCCCCAGCTCTTATAACCCACCATCCAATAAATCAGAGACAGAAACATCTTCATCAGACAAAGGCAACAAGTATCATTACAAACCCATCAATTTTGCTTTCAAATCTGGAATGAGATTATTTGTCAGTTGATTTATCGAGGAATTTCCTAGATAGGAAAAAATAACAAAAGCTTGAAAAAGGACTGGTTTAAGAGAGAAAGCTGTTAATAGGTTGGTCCTTGGTTGTTTTTGTTTTCTTTTTAAAAGCTGAGGTCTGTAATTAGAGATTATGAGATCTTCACAGTTGCCACTGCATCCACCACCTCCCTTCTTGACGTCGAGAAGGGTAGAATGTCTTCATTTGATTTGACTTTGTTTCAACTTTATTTCGAGTCAGTTCCACTACTGAGTATCCCACTCAGCCTAGACTGAGAGATCCATGAGTGATTGATCAGAAGCCATTGAGCCTCAGGATATTCCTCAGACCTTGGATTCTCTGCCTCAGGATATTCCTCAGACCTTAGATTCACTGCCTCAGAATAATGTCAGACCTTCAGACTTGCTTTGTTTTACATCTATATGATTCCTTCATTTTGTTTCACTATAATCCAACCCTTTTGATCGACGCACGAACTCAAGTTCAAGTCCATCAACTCTATTTCATCACACTAAAATGCAACTACATACATATGGACTTTAGAAGATATCTGTAATTCTCTTGTTTAAAGGAAGTTCATGATGAGAACAGACCCAGTTGACCCAGTTGAATTTTTGGCGGTAATCGAGCGTAAGTGGGTCTACTGGGTCAGGGGTTCAGGTTTTAGACCCAAATACCCACCTTGGTTGACCCAACTACGCACATCACTGTCTACCCATCTTCAAATGCCAACCTGCACCCGCTGTCGCGACGCGCTGGCCTACTCGAAGGCTTTTTTCGCACTTCAGGTTGACTCACTGGCAAACCACAACCATCAATCACGCACAACTCATGGTGACCTCGCGGCAATATCAATCAATCCTCGGTCTCACAAAGCACTCCTAACCCCAGAATCAATTCAAAACTCCCCATTAGTTTGAATCCCAATCTCACTGCTGGTGTCAAACTCGGTCAACTTCAATCAAGTCAGAGGCTCAGAGTCGATTTCACTTCCTTTGTTTTCCTTCTCATTTTTACCTTCACCAACACTTTTGAGTGAGTGCTCTAAATTTAATATAATCAGGCATTGAAGAAGTTGATAGACTGATATAATGATGTCTTACCAGTAAGCTGTTTCATACAATCAATTCTTGTTTCCCTAGTCTCAGTACTCCTGTATTTGTACTAGGTCTGTGCATATGTTCCGAAGTACTTGTGACAACTTTGTCCTAGCAGTCAGCTGATGAATCGATCTTTTCTGCTCTAATAGAATGGTTGATCTTACTCTTACTCTTTGGTAACACCCTTGAAGCCTATTATAAACTCAAGACACGAGTGCTTATCACCCATGTGGAGATCCCATCAACCCCTCAACAAAGTCATGATAACATTTCTACTCCGCAATCCCTTAGGAATTCCTTCCCAAATGTGAGTGACAGTCAAATTTCAAATATATTGATATCTTGTTGTGATGTCTTACTTTTATCCTATGCTCTAGGTCACCAGTTGCGCCTCCAATCAAGCATCATAGCTCTCCAGTGTTCTAACATCAAGAGCATAACAAAAAGAACCTTACTATTACTACCAGAACCATCCTCTTACAAAAAAAATGGTCCACATTCATTCTGACCCAGGACCCTCTAGCCAATCCGTTATCTGAAACTACTGGTTGAGTCTACAAACAACATAATCTCGAACCCAATAGCAATAACCTACCTTCATTACCCAACGCAAGTCAAAACCTTCATTCCTCTTCTCATTCGCCGAATGTTCGTCAACCACACAAGCTTCAACTAAGTCAGTCCGTTCGCAAGGTTTTTAACCCAAACACACTTCATTGTTTGCTCGAAGAGACCCTTGGATAAAAGTTCATATCGTTCATTACTAGACTCTAACTTACCGTACTCTATCTCTTGTCTTCAAGTGGTGTTGATATAATTGACGTGCACTTTACTGTTTATTCAGATTTGTAGATTTTAGCTACCAGATCAAAAACTCAAATGTCAGCATGGATTCATGGAAAATGAAAGAAACAGATGTGACAAACCTTTTCAAGTTTATTGTTCACCAATCTGTGTAATGCAATCACTGCTCAAATTAAACTGGAAAGATACAACACCAAGAGTTGGTCCTTAGTGACAATTGTCAAGGGTCTTGAGCGATCGAGAACTAGGCTTGTCAGATCCTTGGCTCCTGCTGCAATATATGTTAGACTGCTCATCGAGTCGTCACCATTGAGAGATTTCTCGACAGGATCAGATTGTAAGGTGGTGATTGGGCTTAGATCAGTAATTGGGAGTAGGTCGAAGATATCTTGAAGGTTGTAAATGATCTGATGGTCTACAGGCAACTCATTGTTGATCACGCCTTGCAGATAATCACTGATCTCAGATAGTCTAGCTTGGAGTCCTCAAAGCGAGTTGAGTCAATCGGTGACTCGAATAGAGAGCGTGCCGGTAGAAATATCTCTGATATTCCTTAAAAGATGTTCCACACCGATTGAAGGGACATGCAGTAGGAACTCGCGTATGACTGACGCCCCAGCTAGCTCTGCCAGTCTCTATCAGAGACCGTAAATATGGTGCAGGGGTCATTAGATGAGGTTGGGAGCGTTCATGAGTTGGAATAAGTTTGGTTCTGGCAAATCGGGAACTGGTAAAACTGGGTCAAAAGGCGGATTGGGAAATAAAGAAAACAGTTTGTCGGCCCATAATCCATCACCTGTTTGCCGCAGAGAAAAGTCGGTGTGAAAAAACATGACGAGCTTGTTAGTTCCTGTTGTCTTGTATGTCCTTTGGAAAAGTAGCTGAGAACGAAGACTCTGTAAGGATATCATTACTAACCAACAATTAAAACCACTCGACTGGCAAGAGGCAGCACATCATCTCGGGAAGCGGCAGGTTCTCCTTCGATCGGGTCCAATATACATTGGCAATGTTGAGGGATGTCACAAGGTCTTGGCCTGATAGTACACCTACCACTCGCTTTCTTCCGCCTTTGGCTACACGAGCTGCATGGTCTTTTACAGAGAGGAGGACAAGAGGATGGATGATGACCTAAGTTTGTTGTTTGAACAAAGAATTAATGAGTTTGATTGATCAAATGATGAATAGTTTCAAAATGACATTGACTTACTTGAGTGGTACTCAAAGCTACCATTTCTTCACTTGTAGCAGCTACCATTTTGAAGTATGAAGTGATTGATTGAAAGTGTGAGGTGAACTGATAAGATGATGAAGTTGTTTAAGTGGTGATGAGATTGTTGATCGATCGACTGGATGAGTCTATTTGATTTGGTGACCACTGTATGTTTGATTTGAAAGAGATTGGCTCAGTTGCTGATCAAGTTCATGTCGCAATTTCATACTGGAAACCGAACCACGTAAAGATCGATCTGGGAAGCAGGAAGCAGACTGATTATGATTTGATGGAGATTGAGAATGTTTTAGGAGATAAATAGAATCCCATCTGATCAGGTGAGATGGTGACTGGTGTGAATGCTGTTATGAAGTGAAGGTTGAGATATGAATCAGTTTTAAAAACAGGAGAAAGGGGAGATTTGAAAAAAGAGACTAAACTTGGATGATTGATTGGAATGGATACGGGTAAAGAGAAAGTGATCATGAAAGTGATGATTGAGGAGTACTGTTATAAGATTGAATGACTTTAGGAGTTGGACTAGAACAAGGAGTTGAATGATGATGACTCGTAGTAGTAGTAGGTGTTTGTTCAGCTTCAGGAGATGCTAATGAGATGATGTTCACATCATAATTGTTACTATCAATGAAAGTTAAGGCAGGTGAAGTACTTATAGGATTGTTCTTCTAATTATTGGTTGAACTGAGATTACTAGGATGGTTATTGATTGATGTTAGATTTGGTAAATTCGTTGGATTCGGTCTGTAAGAAATCATGGAATTTCATGGTGAGCTTTATTAATCAATCACTATGACTGATTGAGTACCAGTTCATGTACTACGTGTTTATCATTTTGTCAAGATGGAGAAATTCAAATCAATCTCACTGTGATAGTTAGACAGGGTTCCCATTCTAATCTCTTTCACTTGATTGTAAAATTGATCCTGATTCTGAAAGTTATTGATATTCTATTAACTCAATTTGTGATTGATTGATTTCATAAAATTCATGTCTGAGTTGTTGCATAGCTAATGCTCTTGCTGCACTGATAGAGGTAGTCTCAAATAGTTGATTGTTTGAACTGAGTAAAAGCCAGATACGTCGTAAGTAAGTTCATCTCGTTTGGAATGCACCCTTTGGAGGAATATTCGGTTGAAGGAGGTCCAAGGGGGGAATCGTTCAGTTGAATAAAATCAGACGGCACGTTGATGCGCAGGTCTGAGCTGTCCAGGTTTTCAAATACTTAGGCTGCTTAGGGCTGCTTAGGGTTGCTGAGGTTTGGATTAGTGGAAGAAACGATTTTTTTGAAAAGACCTTTCTCGCACCAAACCCCAACCATTCTACCCTTCTCGACGTCGAGAAGGGAGGTGGTGGACGCAGTGTGCAGCTAAATCTTAAGATGAAGTGGTGGAATCTACATAGGGGGGAGGAAACTCTGTTCTTCTCTTCCTTCCACCCTTTATACAGTACTCTTGTGATATGTTAGTGTTATATGTCACAACCTTGAAGTACTGTGCTTTCCCGCACCCAGGGCTTTTCTTGCTTTTGGGTAATGGACTTTTGAGTACCACCACAAGCTTTGGGAACACTATCAATTTCTGTTTTTGAAAAGAATTATTTCATCTTCCAACATTTTTGTACTCAAAGGGTGCGCCCCCCGCCCCCGCTGGTTGGGAGCGCCTCAGATGACAGCAGCCTGAGCCCCGGACCCAACACCAGGGTGACCGGTCCCCACTTCTGCCAAGCGCGGGTTCAGTCAGCTTTTTTTGGCTCAAAAAAGTTGGGGACCCCAACAAGTAGGGGCGTGGGGGCATATGTAACAAGCCACCCAAGCCGCAGGTTGCCCATGAGGTCTAGATACCAACAGATTTACATCAAAAATTTTTAAGGGACTGACAAAGTTTGAGATTTCAGAGTAAAAAGAAATCAGAAATATCACAAGTTAAAGAGTGAGAAAAACACCTTCTTCAATCTTTTTCTTCCTCATCAATCTGTATAACGTAGCTGCCTTGTTTATGTTTGTTACCCTCAACTACAACTGATGATTCATTGTCACTTGTGTTGATCTGGGAAAAAGGGGGTGGAGTTGAAGCTGGAGCGGATATAATTGAATCCATGCAATTGACATTTGATGATGAAACAATTTGAATTAATGGAAGTTTGAAACAATGATTTAGTTGGTATTACAGCCGTTGAAGGGTTAAACGGCAGAAAATACAAATTTGTGTCGCGCCCAGATTTAATACAAAGGTCCAAAACCTGTTAAATCCGATTGAAAGTGACAGGTCTCCCGCGGAACATTGTTGAATTGTGTCCAAAACCAGGTTTAATCTAGTTTTGAGCGCTCAGATTTTACTTTGGGTGCATCACACAGAAAAAAATTTCTGCTGTTTAACCCTTTAATGGCTGTAGGTAACATTCAATAATGATCAATGATTTATTGATTTGATGATAGTTGTTGATACTAGGAATTTTTATTTTTATTGTTATTTATATTTATTTCTTGATTGGGGGGACACGTAAGCATTTTGAGCGGGCCCGTGGGGAGCCCCGTATATTTTGGTTTATCCTTGGTCAATTGGGCTTGGGGGCGGGGGGCTTCAGGAACCTCGGGATTGATTGGGTTAGGGTTGGTTTTGGGCGCGGGTCGGGTCTTGAGCCATTGGTTTGGGGTGTGGTTAGGCCACTACCCGTGTTTTTCGGGTCGGGGCTCAGCCTGAGACGACAGTTTTTGGGCCTGGGCCCTGGGCGCGCCCGTCCTTCTAGAAACCGCGCCCACCACCTGAGCGCTAAATAGTGGCATCCTTTGTTTAAATCTTCAAAGCTTTTCTTTTTATCTTTTGAGATTGAGTTGGGTTGGGGTGAGAGTTGATCAAATTCAGATTGCATTATTTGATGAGCTTCTATTATTGAACATCTTCTATAATTATATACAGAGTTCTAATCGAGTAAAATCCTTTAAAAAGTCTTCAAGTCGACATTCAGGCTGAATGTAGAGCAATAAGGTTGTTACATGAATCAGATTACGGATTCACAAGCGTAAGTAAAAGTTGATAAAGGATTTTTACAAGGTACACACTGAGGACGCCATTGCCACGATTTCAGATAGCGACCGGAAGCGATCGGAATCAAACTTACCGCAGGGATCCCGTGTCAGAGACGCAGCTCAACCGGTCTTTGACAGCCGCAAGGTCCCTAGGACAGGTCGAGATGAGGTTCGAAACGCTGCGAGAATGGCACGTGGAAGGCTCAGAGCGGCTCCAGTCACCGTTCACATAAAAAACGGGACTGAGACCGTTCCGACCAAGTTCTTGATATTCTCTCATCTGGGAACGTCCCCGGCACCATTTGGTGTAGATGTAGTATTTTATTCTTTCAGGAGATTCTTGTTCTCTTTTTCCCCATCTGAAAATTTCTACTATTTCCATCTCGGTCCTCGATACTAGGTACATATTCAGCATTTTTGGCATCTTCAAAATTGATTAATGCTGTATCTTTTTAGAATCGTGGGGTAAAGTCAATCGGTCCTATACCCACCTTGTGATACACAGAAGATGTGCGGATCATTCATAAGTCGCAATAACGCGGGATTGCCCCCTACATTTTAATTTGATCACTCAGATTTATGCCTCTTGTCTGTTGAATCCTTGGTACTTTTCTCTTTGCTATGTCTCGGGCTCAAGCCATAGAGAAACAGGTCTTGAATTTTGTTCTTCACCTACCTTCGAACGTTGACCCGTATCATGTGACAGCCGAGTACATTGCGGCTCTCTTTAAGTTTCGGGTACGCTGCCAGCTCTCAAAGTTATTGTTCATTCCTTGGTTATCTTTTTAACATTTATACAAGATAATCAATCCTAATCCACTTCTTATTTCTGATTGTCGGTGGATTGTCAAGCCACGTTCTCTTCCGACATGGCCGGTCTATATTCAGCATTTGTTCGGAGTAGGCTTTGTGATGTGAGAATAATGAATTCCCTCAAAGTATACATTTGAAGTTCTAAGATAGGCTTATCTTATGGGTGATTTTAATCAAATCATTCTGAAGAATGTTATTTCAATCCTGCTATGTTATATATCTTCGATCCCAAACCAAGAAGTTCTATCAAATTGGTCTCAATAACTGTAAGTTTTGATAACCTGTTGATAAGCCTGGTATACATGAACACTATAGCTGATCCTCTTCCTTAGTGGGTTTGATACACCTCGATCGTGCTAACCACTGTGGCTTGTGTTACTTATTCTATAGTCTCAGTGAGTCTCCATAATATTTGGTCTGCTCCGATTAAAATGACTGACGTGTTGTCTTCTTGCCCCCACAAGCTGCAATTGCTGATGTAATTTGTGATGATCTAGTAGGAATCGGTGACCTAGACCAAGCTTGGCCAAACTTCTTGATCCCTATCAGGTGTACGATAAACGTCGTTTGTGCTAGGTGTGCATATATCAAAAATTCTCTTTCTTCATATAAAAAATTAACACGTTATGCATCTTTTGAAGTGGTGGGTACTTTGGTGCCATATAACCCTTTCCTTCGTCGACAGCTGAATCGATCCCCTTTATGTACTGACCCACACTGGATCAGTCATTTTATGGCTATGTATAAGTCACATTGCACTCACCAAATACTCGGACATCACACCAGGTGAGGCCGGGAACACCATACCAAATGCTGTGATCCGATTAATGAATGGGTTCTTAGTGGTGATGCTTACCGTACCAACTGGTCAGCCTATATGTCTCGCACTGTGGCAAATTCATAGAAACTCACAGAGACTCCAATTTCAGTACCCATCTGTATCTCCTTCTATCAGCTTACCATGGAATACATCCAAATCAGAAACACCGTAAAACCGATCCTCCACATCCTCCGGAATGCTTCCTGCTCCCGAGAAACGTGCAGCGTGACCAAAATGTTACTTGTCATCCTGCCACTTTGGGAATCGCTAGGCCACGTTGTTTGTTATTCCTTGATAATAAGTAAAATGATTTAAAACATAAACTTAAAGTTACATTCTCTTCACTTCAAACTTTACCTTATCATC